TTCAAGTCAGCTCTTAGCCTTCAGCAATGCCCAGAATCAATCAGAAAGTTTCAAGTACCTCTTTACTCACCTACCTAAGTAAGTAAAACAGTTCCTTACAAATGTTTACAGATCATAGATCTGATTTCTGCCATCCTGATACACTGCTATTGACTGCTGTGGTTACAGTCTTAGCAAAGCACTTAGAATTTTAGGATGCCTGCATTCTGGCTGCTATAAGGGAGACAGGGGACACATCCTCCATAGGAGTTTCACATTAGCCCACAATTCCCTCCTTGTCTGAAAACAGAATTTCTATTTGCTTCAATTGTCTCAAAGGCTCAATCTATTCCTTTTTTTAGATCCATCTATTAGAAGGCATTTCAAAAGAGTGAATTTAAAATGTCTTTGGAAAAAGACTACAGAGAATCGGGTCTCCCCAATACTGAGTGTAAATAGATCACAACACAAATTTAGACTCCAAAGAGTTCCAGAGGATTACGACTTTAATTTGGGAATAAACTACCACAAACAGTGTTTTACAGTTCTAAGCTCAACCGCTGATGGGGCCTTTTTAATACTAAAAGAGATCTGAGATTTCTCTACAGAGAAATTATTGTTTTAAATAAAGGGCATTTCACATCTAACAAGTCCCAGACTACTTCTTAATTCAAGAAGGAAATTTTCAGAGCCATCTCTAGTGTTCATTTTATAGGATAGATAGATAGATAGATAACTTAGTATTTTTCGGTTTTACCTGGATGGAATAATTCTTAACTCATGCGTGCCACGATTCAGACAATGAAAAACTACAACAGGTAAAATCGTCCAATGGAAGAGATGCCCTAAGAACACGGCCACACCCACTTCTAGCAGCTTAAGGGGCAGGGATTCCTAGAGCGAGGGAAGCTGAACCACAGGATTTCTAAAGGCCACTGGGCAATTAAGATTCTAAGGCTACTACTGGAACCAAACCGCTCTGAGCTTGCCAAAGGCCTCTGAGTCAAATGCTGTTACTATCAGTGGGAACAGTCCTCTTCTCTGTCAGTCCCAATCTGGGACTTACTTAAGACTGCTCCAAACACTAACCCGACCTAATTCCTGTCACTTCAGCTGATATTCTCCCTCTATTCCTCCCGATCCACCTGCCACCTGTTCCAACTCGGCTGTGTGAACACAAGGCCACTAACTCATGAAATCACCCCGCTTCCCTATGTCTCTCATTTTCAGGTGGGTTTGAGCAATGGGAGGATCCCTCCGGAAGGAGGGAGGAGGGTGAGAAGAGAAGGAGCAGCCTGCTGCATCTCTTCCCTTGACCCGCTTTCTGTTGCCAAGACAAGAAGACTAGCTGGACCAGGACTCTCCACAACAGAGACAATGCCAGCTAAGCTGTCCCTGGGCCGAAGTCACTTCTCCACCTTGCCCCTCAGGCCTGGAGGTGATAATGGTTCTCTGCTGCTGCAGCACTGAGGTGTTCCTTCACCTGCCCAGCCTTTGCCAATATCCCTTCACTCCTCACCCACACTCTTGAAGTAGGGGAAAGTCAATGGATCTTTCCTACAAACCACTGGCAGCCTTCCATGTCTTTCTCCTGAGGGGGCTCCAATCTCCCCTTTTCCCACAACAGGAGGTTTCCTCTCAGTAACTGGGTTCTATATATTGACACACGTGAACCAAAGGCTGCAAACCAATTCCCTGTAGAAAATTTCTTAATCCCAGACTGATTTCCAGTTGTGTCACCAGTATGTGCAAACTGTGTGTAATATTAGATTGGACAAAAAATCTAATTAAGAAAGTAAATGTTACTAAAAACTCCTAACACAAAACCAGGCAAACCAGGAGGATTTAGAGCTTATTTACAACTCTCCTGTGCAGTCTCCCAAGGCAAAAGAAGTCCTACTTTTTGTGAGGGTTCTGCTTCACTTAAAAGGCTGAAACAGTGCCAAACAGAGTCCCCCCACTATAGCCACTCAAATGTTAACTTTTTAAGCATTTCCTCTGTCTCACGTGCATCCGCTGTTTTCCAGCTAATTTACAAACAGGTCAGGAGGCTGACAGAACAGAAACAAGCTTTCAGAGTAGATCCTTCACTTTCTCACTCGATTCCCATTTAAACATTTGGAAAGCCATGAGTCCCTAAAATAAACCAAAAAACTCAAGGTTCAAAGATAAAGTTCTCAGACCCAGATAGAAGACTGTACTACACACTCTCCAATTTATTTTCTAAAGCAGTTATGTGCCATTGAGTCACCTGAGACTCAAAGTGACTCTATCTATGTACAATAGCTCTGAACCCTGCTCTATCCTGAGCCAGTATTGCTGTCGCCAACATACCTACCCCAATATCCAAGTTACAGTGTCAATCCATCTCATCCACATCTTCCTCTCCTGCACTAGGCTTCGTTTAAGAAAATAAATATCATAAATAACAATTGATCAAATTCCCAGGAAAGACTCACCCCCCACACCTGGGAATCCACCAAGTACAAGGATATCCAGTTATCGATGTTCAGGCAGCCTAAACAATGGTTTCTCAACCTCAGCTGCACTGCCGTCCCAGGCTAGATGATTTTTTGTGGTAGGGTTGTGTGCATAAGGCTGTGTGCTGGCGTCCTAGACTTCTACCCACTCAATACGGCTGCTATCTCTGCAGGTGTGAGAACCAAAACTCTCTCCACTGCCAGGAACCCCCACACATGTTAAGCAAAACTGCTTCATGGGTATTCAAGGTCGTGACCTTTCAGACCCTAACTGCTAGTTTCCTGGAGTTCTTCAAACCACGGGCACAACTCCCTACGACGAGCCCACCAGGGCTCCCTTCTTCCCTAAAAGCTAACAGTATCTGGCAACTTGGCAAGTGAGACGACTCCTTGACAATCCAGAGGTATAGAGAGAGTTTGAAAGGATGATTGCCCACGTGGAGAAAGACTGCAAAACTGCCTGCCTTGAATTCCCTCTGAAAGCTTTGCAATTCCCATTGGATGCCTACAGCTCACTCATTTTAGTCTCTGAGAGAAACAGGTGGAAAGTATTGCAAAGACTATCATCATAATCATAGACACAATATTTAACATTTCAATGTCGTGCCCTAACCAACGTAAAGGAAAACAAGAAGATTCCATGGTAGACAAAGTTTTTCAGACAAGGCTATACTAGAAGACAAAAGGGCCGTGTACACCCATTTCCAACCGCCTCCCCGTTCCCTCTCCCCAAATGCTGGGCCCTTCAAGTCACAATGCCAAACAACAGCTGTCCCTTCCATGTGGGAACCTGAAGACACACCAACTGGGGCTGAAAGGAGCCCCACCAACTGAGTGCTGTGCAGCCTAAGGCAAATCACTTGCCTCCAACTTACTCTTTATCTATTTCCACCCCACCTCCAGGTTAGGAGTTAAAAAAAAAAATTGCCATCCTTGGAACCATGGAGCAATTCTCCTCTGCCATATCATCACTGTAAGTCCCAATGAGTAACACCAGCAGTGGTGGGAAAGGAGAACATCGACATATTTTTATAAAGGCTTTTATAAAATGTGAATAATTATATTAGGGTATTTATTCCTGTACTTAACACATGTGCTCAATAAATGGTAGCTATCTGGAGAAGAGTGTTGCATATACCAGGGACTGCTAGGAGAACAAACAGGTTTGTCCTGGAAAGGGTTAAACCAGGCTGCTCCTTGGAAACTTCATCTGATATACTTTGGGCATGTTGCAAGGAGGGACCAGTCCTTGGAGAGGGACGTCATGCTTGGGAGGGTGGAAGGACAGTGCAGGATAGGAAGACCCCCGACCGATGAGATGGATTGATTCAGTGACTGGGGAAATGGGAGTAGGTGTGTCAGAGGCGGTGAGATTGGCACAGGACAGAGCAGGGTTTAAGGCTCTTGTACATAGGGTTGTAATAACAACAACATCAGATCTATGCTGATCTTCTTATATGTTATATTGTTTCCCCACCTTCTTTCCCAACAGAATGGAAACCTAAAAAGGATTCATCATGCACAACATAAATGGCATCACTGAACTTTTAGAACAGTTCCTAGTTCTAATGTTCTATGAAATGCTGCTATGCATGGAGGGTACTTTTCATTCCTTTGGGCCTTTTCTTTCCAGTTAGAAGACAAAGAACATATCTTAAAATCATAAAATACTTGGAGGCAGACTTTGACCTCTGACCATTCTGGTTTAGTGTCCCACTAAACACCTACCACAGCACAGTTCAAGGAAGGGATGACAAAATTGTTCCAGTGCCAACACCTCATGTAATAAGTATGCTGTTTTCAAAAAGTGATGATTTTCAAGGGCTAATCATATCTATGTGAATTAGTTACTGATAGCAGCTACTATAATAACACTCCTAAACAAGTCGAGATTACAAGGTAAGTAAGCGAAAGTTGGGGTGGCTATAAATTCAAAACAAAACCAACTCCAAAGTTAATATGCTGAATAAAAGCAAATTGTTCCATTAAAGGGAACAGATAGGCCCAAAAACTACTAATTGTATCTCTGTATACTGACATAGAGAATCTATATTTGAAATACATATACTTATCCATATCTAACCCAAAGGTACCAGTTTGAATCCAGCAGCTGATTTGCAGGAAAAAGATGGGCTCTCTCCTTTCAGGCAATTCACAGCCCCTGAAAACACACTGGAAGGTTGGTGATGTGACGGAAATTATTTTTTGGGGAGAAGTAGATGAGGAAAGGTGCTTTCTTTTGCTTAGTTTCAGTTTTTTCTAATATAAACACATACTGCTCTTTTCTCTCTCTCTTTTTTACACCTACTGAAATACCCCAGGCGCCAGCAGCAAGTCAAGGTCAGAGTCCCAGCAACCCTCAGTCAGGTTTCCAAGGCTTTCAGAGGTAGTTAATCACATGGCTGGAGACCACCCACCCTTCTTCAGCAGAGTAACCAGTGGCCTTGAACCACTTGCCTTGGAGACTGCAGTGCAGCTTCTTGCTACCAGACCACCAGAGCTCGCACTAGGAATTAAAAATTCCATCCGGCTATTCGTTACCTTAGGGAGCTCGTGTGGCTTGGTGGTAAAAGAGCTGTACTGCAAACCCAAGGGCACGCTGTTCATATCCACCAGCAGTTCCATGGGGAGAAAGGTAAACCATCTCCTCCTGTGCAATTTCCTGCCTCTGAGAATCTGCTGGAGGGTCAGCCATGAGTCATTCCAACTGGACTGGATGACAGTTGACAACAACAATTTACCTACTGAGAATCCAAGAAGCCTGGGTAAGAAACGCTTTTAGTCAACTTCTTCACTAGGATGGGTGTATAACTAAGTATCCATTTCTCACAAGTTAAAATCACCATTGCTCCCCACCTCAAACAAGAAGTAATCACAAGTTCTTTTACCTCTCTTTTCATTTCTCCTGCAGACCTTTTAAGATATGTCACAACAGGAAACAAACAATAATTATGTGAAAACTTCACTATCGTTGTTGTTAATATGCCTTCAAGTCAGAACCAATTAACGGCTGATCCTCCAGCGGGTTTTCGAAGGCTGGAAATCGCAAAGGAGGATCTCTCTGAGCATTTGGTGGATTCTAACTGCCTGCCCCAGGGTTGGTGGTGTAACACTTATCTACTAGGCCACCAGTTTTTGCTAATCTCCCAGTGACACCAATCAATTCTGTGGGATGGTTAGAGATGGACAGGTGTATTTAAATTACCTAGTGGCAAGAAGCTGTGCTGCAGTCCCAAAGGCTCAAGGTTCGAGGCTACCAGCTGCTTTGTGGGAGAAGGATGTGCAATCTCCTGTGCTATTAACTGCCTCTGAAAACCCGCTAGAGGGTCAGCTGTGGTTCCAACCAATCTAGACTCGGAAATTAGGCAACAACAATCAACAATCTTGCACAAAAATATTACCAAACTCATAAAACCACTTATAAAACTAAACTTAGAAACTAAACTTTTACCTTTTTTCTATACCACTATCTAAAAGCTGTGGGGCTTGCTAGAACTATGACAGATCTCCATGACATCACTGATATCCCAAAAATAAAATGTGTTTTATTAGTAAACATTCATCTGTTGATAACCTTTCTCCCTGATCAGTGAAAGAATTAAAACAAAAAAAAAAAAAACAAAACCCAACCAAAATCCATCAAAGAAGGATTTCCAGAAGACCAGAAAGCAATGTCCACCAAAGCAGCCATCTTGGCCCAACAAAAACCCAGATTCAGAGTTCAATTCAATAAATACTTGTCCACTACAGAGAGATGATGTGAAACCATCTCATTTAGTACATACAGATGAAGACAAATGCTTCTTCAACTCTAGACAAGAGATGAGGTCTACTTTTCAGGCAGACATAGCTCGAATCTGGAAAACACTTATCAATTGAAAAGACAAATCGAAAATAAAATTACTAAAAAGATCTACATATGTTGGTGCATCGTGGCGAAAGTTCTGCTGCCCCAGAGCAAGTCTCAAGCACAGAGTCCACACTCTCAGTTTCTTTGGATCAAAAGAAATCCGAAGAGACAGGGGCTTTGTGGCGAGGAGGAGGTCGGGGAAGGACTCACCAACATCAGAAGGTCTGTGGTAGGCATCTTCCTCTTCCTGCCTTCCTCTGTAAAAGGGAACCAGGTTTGTTTACTTCGAAAGCTTTAAACTGTCGGGTCAGCCCGCCTTGATCCGCCAGAGCAGTCAAGAAATGGTTCTCAGCCTCCTTTGAGGGCTCAGATTTCACGCTCAGCTCTCACACCCCACCCCAGGCCAACCAGTCGGCGAATCGGGATCTGGCCAGACCCGTGCTTCCCGCCCACAGACGACCAAGCGAATCAAAGGCCCAGGATCCCACAGAGCTCGCCACTCAGGTGGACACCGGGGGACACGCCCGGCCCGCCCCCGGCCCCGGGCCCAGAAGCCCGGCCCTTTCAACCTGCGCTGCCCACAGGCGGGCGTGGAGGCAGCAGGTCCCAGCAGCCGGCGGCCACCATCGGAGTCCCTTCGGAGATCATCCCTCCCTCCATCTAACCCTAAAGTTGGGAAGAATCTCAGCTGACACCACCCCACACTCCCTGCACCCCCTCTGCCTCCCTCCACTCCGCCTCATTCCTCCCGAGAGCTTGTCCCCCCCGCCCCGAGACCTCTGCTCTGCACCAGCTCTTCTCTCAGTCACGCCCCCACCTGTCAGGTCGCAGCCCCTGCTCCCCACCCCGATCCCGACCCCTTTCCCAATCGGGCCCCGCCCCCCTTCCCGATCCTTCCCAGACTCAGCGTGGATCCCCGATCACGCTGCCCTTTACCCCCACCCCCGTCCCTCCTTTCCATTCCCCAGGCTGACGCTGCCCCCCGACTTCGCCACATCCTCTCCGACCTGACACCGCGTCCTCTTCCGCGGTCTTCGCCTTCCTTCGTCCCCGCTGTCCAGCTCAGAATCGGCTCTTCTTCTTTAGCTCGCAATCTGCTCTTTTCGCCCCGTGACCCCGTCCACTTCCACCTTCCCACACCGGAACCACCTTCCCCTCTTCCCGGCTTCGGCCACTCTCCAGCCGGCTGGGCTCCACCTCCCGCACCTCTCACGCGCGACCGGCTCACGCGCCTCGGACTCGAGCTCCCCCTGCCGCACGGTCGCGCCAGCCGAGATTGCAGATCCAGCAGCGGCGGCGGCGCGGCCCCGCCCCGCCCGGAAACAGCTCCAGCGGCGCCGGCTCTGCGCTCTGAGCGCTCGGCGTGCGCGGCCCCGCCGTCGGTCACGCGCACGTCCGGACCCCACTGCGAGGCCCAGGCTACACGCCTGACCCGCAGGGTTTGCGCGCCTCCTGCTGGCGGGATGCGGGCGGGTCGCTGTGGCCCTGGGCAGGTGCGGGGGCACGGGGGTGGCCAAGCCCTCCCGGGGAAGTTCAAAACCTACCTCCTAAAGAGATGGGGCTATTTTGGGAGGAAGACTGCTACAATAGGGAGAACACTACAATGGCTTAGGGAGAAAGCATTTTTTTTCTTAAATTTATTTTATTTCATTATTTTTTGTGTGTACCGTCAAATCGGATCTGACTGCTACAGGAGGAAATTGTCCCCGTCTCCAGCAGAGCATCTGGTGGATTCAAACCGATCACCTCTGGGATTGCAGTGCAGCTTCTTGCCACTAGGCCACCAGAGCTCGCCAGAAAGCATTTTTTTTAATTAGCCTATTTTTTAACACAATTTTTGTGTTACCCCTCAAAGATTGATTCTGTGTATTCTTTGATTCTGTGATTGATTGATTCCTTTCTTAGCTTTTTTTATATTCCTTATCAACGAGCTCTAGTGGCTTAGTGGTAAGAAAGTATGCTGCCAGTGCAAAGGCATGCGGTTCAAATCCACCACTAGGTAGTTCTTGAAGCGAAAGATAAGTCTTCTCCTCCCATGAGATTTACTGCCTCTGAAAACTTGCTGGAGGGTCAGCTACGGGTCAGTTCCAATTCGATGGTACATAGCGACAACAGATACCTTACTAGCGTTAGCGCAATGCACTACTATCCCAAACAAGGTGCCTCACTGGCATGTAGAACTCACCAGCTCCTCCTGTGCAATTTACAGCCTCTGAAAACCCTAAGGAAGGTCAGGGAGTTGGTTCCAAATAGACCACAGTGACAGTTTTACATCACTCCACTTAATTTGTTCTAGTTTCATTCATACTGTGCAATATTTTTACGAATTCTTCCTTTTTTTTTTATAGTGATGCTCCATAGTGCATTTTTTTATAGTGATGACTCGACGGTGCATAACAATAACAACAACAATACTCCTTTGTGTGATCATAGCAGGTTCTTTAACCAAGTGCCCTGGTTCCTGTTTCCAACTCATTGCTATTATAAACAGTGCTGGGGAAAAAATAAATAAATAAACAGTGCCGCAATAATCGTGTGTGAGTAGGTTTATGATGCCATCCTTATTTCTTTCTGATATAATAGTGGAATTATTGGATCACATAGTATTTGTTTTCCCAACTTTATAAGGAAATGCCATACTGTGTTCTGTAGAGATTGCACCATTTTACATTCCCACCAACAATGAATTAGGAATTCTAATCCCTCCACATCCTCACTGGCATTTGTTATTTAATGTCTTATTCAGTACATTTGTTATTTAATGTCTTATTTAGTATATTGCTATTTTTGTTGGGGTGCGATGATATCTTGTTATTGTTTTAATTTATATCTCTCAAAGCTATTGATCTTGAGCATTTTTTCATGTGTTTGTTGATCATCTGACCACCTTCTTTGGTGAAGTGTCTAATTATGTCCTTTAATAACTTTGTCAACAACTATGCAAGATACTGTACCTTGTCACAAACTACACAAAGCCTCATTTATGTCCTGACTTCCCCAGATCAGATGAGTCCCATCATCTCCAATTTATGAATCTGAACACTTGTTCTCCAAGTTGTTAAGTGATGGGTTACAAGTGCTTGGAAGTTCAAACTCATCCAAAGGTGTTTTAAAAGACAGGCTTGGCAATTTGCTTCTGAAAAGTCAGAGTCCTAGGGATCCTATAAGCACAGTTCTACTCTGTAACATCTAGAATAACTATGATGGGAGCTCTGGTAGCCTAGTGGTAAGAAGTTGTGCTGCCAACTCAAAGAATACCAGTTCAAATCTAACAGTTGCTCTGCAGGAGAAAGATGGACAGTCTCCTCCCATGTAATTCACAGCCTTAGAAAAAATCTGCTGGAGGGTCTAGCTTTGAGTCCAAACGCGAGTTAAATTGGTTCTAACTCAGCAGCACATAAAAACAACACCACAGAGAAACTATGAGTCGGAAGCAACTTAACGACAACAAAGCCCACAGGGGGAAAGTCACTTGACCCAGGAAAAGCAAACTGAGATCCCAAAGACATGCAAGAGAGGATTGGAGTTAACATGGGAAGCAAAGGCTTCAGAGTTTGTACTTTGAACATCTAAAATGTACTCCTTGCTAATTAGAACTAAATGATGTTAGAAGCTCCAGTGGTCTATTGATAAGGAGTTGTTCTGCCAACCCAAAGGCCAGCGATTCTAATCCACCAATTGCTGTTCAAGAGAAAAATTAGCAATCTCCTCCTGTGAGAGATACAGAATCTGAAAACCAGCTGGAGGGTCAGCTGAGTCTGTTCCAGCTGGACAGGACATACCAACAAAAAAGGATGCTAGAGTTAACCCTTGGAAGCAGGAGTGGTATCCACTTCCATAATAGCTTGCCTCTGGAAACCCTATGAATCTGGAGAGAGAACGGAAGTTATACAGGAGGTGTCCAGGACTTTTGTTCATAGGATCGCCATGTCGCCTGTGACTTGACGGCACTTAACAACAACACCACCAACAGCATAGAAAGAGCAGTGGGCTTAGTGGAGGGAAAGCCATGCTCCCAAGCCAAATGTGGATGACTCTACTTCGCGGCCCTCAGGCCTGCCTTTAATTGTATTTGGTGAAACATTTTTCTAGGTCGTATAGCCCTGGTCTGTCCACTTGCTGTACAGAGGTAACTCGTGGTTGCTGTGAAGCCGAATACTGTTACACTGATGAGTCAAACGTGATAATGGTTACCCATGGTGGACAGTGTTTGGTGAAGCTCCCTAATGAAAACAAGCTTGGAAGCAGGAGTGGCATCCACTTCCATAATAGCTTGCCTCTGGAAACCCTATGAACCTGGAGAGAGGACGGAAGTTATATAGGAGGTGTCCAGGACTTTCATAGGGTCGCTATGAGTCACCTGTGACTCAACGGCACTTAACAACAACACAGCAACAGAGCTAACCCACCCATCCATAGTCATTGTTATCAAGCCAGTTCCAACTCCTAGTGGCCATGTTGGCAGGCAGAGGAGAATTGACCACAGATTCTCTTTCCCATTTTATTATTTTTTAAAGCATTTTTAAGCTTTTGGCTGTGATTTGAGATGGCTTTCCATTCAACTAATAGACATTATGTTTATGACATTGAATGCAATATCCACCTTGTAACCACTTTCCCAACTTCCTCCTGAAAGATTCTGGAATGAAGCTAAGAACCACGCCAAGGTAGAGGTAAGTAGTACTGGGGGCTAGGTTTAGGGGGGCTTATATGGGGTTTTAGCAAGTATATTTTGGGGGATTGTGAGATGAGTTGACATTGCTCATTGGTGCATAATGTTTCTTGTTTTGGAAAATGTCCTGATACGGGAATTTCTGAATTCTGGTTCTGGGGAATGTCCTGACATAGTATTTTCTGAGTTTTGGTTTCGGAAAATTTCCTGACATAGGGATTTCTGAGTTGGGCTTCAACCTCCATTTTCCTTTTTAGCCTAACATTCCCGCCTTTGTGGTGATGGGGGTGATGAGGTCTTCTGGCTTTTTCCTGCTGGATAAGGGCATAGTGGGGTTTAAGGGAAATGTGTATGTTATCCTGTCTAATTTAGAGGGAGCGGTTTTACTGATGGTTTTGTTAGTATATGAACGAAACTGCTTCTGCAAACAATTAGTAAAAAAATTTGAGTAATCCTGTCCCGCAGGTTAATGCAAGAATGAATAATAGTATTAGAAGTACAAAGGGCAGTAAGCCATCCCACCATTGAAGAGAGGGTATGATGGAGAGGAAAGTATACGGGTTAAGGACTACTGGATGTACTGGTTGTACGAAATTATTGATATCTTAGAGATCTTGAACGAGGTGGTATGAGCCATCTGGTTTCTTTACTGAAAGTATAGGAATGTTGTAAGGAGAATGAGTGGCAATTAAAATATTGGTTTTAAGGAACTCAGTTATAGTGGGTTTCAGCCCTTGGAGATGTCCTATACTGATAGGGTACTGGGGAATGCATGGGAAGGAGGTTTGGTCCTTTACTTTAATATGAATAGGAGTGTGATGTGTAGCTACTGATGGGTTAGAGATATCCCAAATTATAGGATCAAATTGATGGGGTGGCAGGGGGAAAATGGAGATGGGGGGAGAACTTTCTTTAGGAGTTAAGCATAGAAGAAAAAGTTGTATTTAACTAGGGCTGGGGATGAAGGTGAGATTCACATAAGCTTTAAATTTGCTTAAAATATCTCAGCCTAGTAGAGGAGTGGGACATTTCGGTATTATGAGGAATTGATGAGTGAACTGTATATTTTGAAATAAATATAATAAGGGAAGAATAAAGCTTGGGCTGTTAATTTTTCTTTTTACTCTCACTATATTGGTTTGGGACAGAATTGAAGGCCATATTTGTAGAATTTGATTGAGAGGGCCTCTGGTCAAAAATAGGTCATGTTTTATATGCTGAGTGAAATAGAACAGCCTTGACTGAGGTCCAGTCTTTGGGGCGGGGGTGATAATCCAATCTGTAGTGGATGGTCGGGTGCATACCTAGCAGGAGGACCACAGTGGGTCCTCTTGGAAAAGCAGTAAGGCAGAACTAGTACTGATAGAGAGGATGGATTCGGAGAGAGTTTCAGTGATCATTATGGCAAAGATGATGAGGAACAGAGATCTCATATTTAGAGGAGGAAGAATAGGCAGAAAATAAAAAAAGATGCTTGGTCAAGGGTAAAGTCTTGAAGAGAATCCTGTAGCCAAAGATTAGTGGTATGGAAAAGTAACTGATCTATAATGTGGAGGGGGTTCCTAGGATTAAGTTCTGTGATCCAGTTAGTAATGAAAATGAAGGAAAGACTGGAGAAGCTAGTTAGGATTGGATTGTGCTGGAGTCTGGTTTTAAAGATAACTTGCTTCTGTATGTATTTAAAGAACAGATATCATATGCTGACAATTTGGATATTTGTTGAGGAACTGCTCTAATACATAACAGGGTACTCAACAATTGTTGTTGTTGTTGTTATGTGCCGTCGAGTCGCCTGCGACTCATAGCAACCCTATGTACAATAGCCCTAAACTCCGCTCTGTCCTGTGCCAATCGC